GACGTCCCTTACCGGTCGGGTCTGGGTTGTGCTCCCTTTGCACCATCCAAGCGAGCCCCTCCTTTTGGTGGGTCATGAGGCTGGCCGTCAGCACCGGCTCGGTGTTGGCGGAAGTGTTCGCCGTCGGGAGTTGCGGGGAGTCCGCGTCAAGCTTGTCGAACATCTCGTCGAGCTCCCGCTGCATTAGCGCGAGGATTAATTGTGCCGCATTTTGACAGTGGCATATAGTGCGGTGGTGTGATGAGACACGAGGGGTGAACAAATAGACGACTGGATAGCCTCAGCAGGTTGGTGTGCGCTCGTCAGCCGTACTGTAGAAGAGAAGATACTATGGCATCGTACGATGGGGTAACAACGACATCGACGGTGTTGACAACGGCAACGACGTTGCCGCCGGACAGAAGGCGGTTGGCGAATCAAGTGCGTTCGCTGAGAGGTTCCAAGCGCAGAAGCAGTCGGAAGGGGCTTGCCAGTGACAGGCGACAGCTACTACAAAAGCGCGAGATGAGAAGCCCATGCATTTCCTAGCCTATCCTGCCGCAGTCCGTGGAGTGGGAAAAACGGCCGAGGACAGAAAGCTACGAAGTCTAGCAGTTCAGGTGGCGGTACGATCGCACATCGTCGCGGAGCCCTACCATTGCCGCATCCAAACGCATCCACCACCATCAGCATCCACCGCTCATAGCGTCACCATCACCTGGCCGTCGTTAAGTTAAAGCTCGATACACAGCAGGGTTTCGTGCCACGAACCTACGAACCTGTGTCTTGACGGGGTTGGAGACGGCCGTTTGCACCGCCACGGCGTGTCCTCTGCACGAGGCCGACGCCACACTGCCCCCCCCGGGTGCGGAGCCGTGTCTGCCGGTCATGCCGCCCTGAAGGTACAGGCTGCTCTCCACGCGGGACAACCGACGGCGAAGGCGCCGAAAAGAAGTACATGATGGGGCAAACGACGGTGACGGGCGCAAGTAAAAGGTACACGTGGGACAGACGACGGTAAAGGGGGCAAAAAAGAGGTACACGTTGAGACAAACGACGGTAAAGGGTGCCAAAAAAGGAAGCACGTCGTTACATGGTAAACGGAAGACCGAGAGACAAGTGCGCTAGATGAGAGGGAGATCACGTGTTGAAGGGAAACATGGTGCTCTCGACCGCAGACTCGACACGGAATGACGGTGCAGACCAGGGACGGCCTCATTGCAGCGGTAGAGGGGGAAGCACAGCGAGCGGTGACCAAGAAGCAGCCAAGCGTGTGTGTAGCAGCAGCATATGATACAATTTAATAGATACATGTAGCACAGCAGGAAAACGGCGAGCACCATGCGGAAAAACTCAACATTGCCACCTACCAATCAGCGACGAGCTGCGTGCAATGCGCGAGCATAAATGGAAAGGGACGGCATACACCACTAATGAGAGTAAGAGAGAGAGAGAAAGAGAAAGAGAGAGAAGGTGCCCGTGCCCGTACCATCCCCCTGTCTCCGGCGCCCGACTCCTCAACACTCGCTCACTCACTCACCGCCCAAGAGCCGCAATCGTCGCTGAAGCACGTTCCGGCGGGCCGAAGACGTTCGCCCGGATGGGGAGGTCGTACACCCGCGTACCGCCGACGGAGACGCTGCGGAGGGGAGGATCGTCGACGGCGTTGAGGACAGAACGCAAGTTCGAGACAAATTAACAGACTAGGCAAAATGGATGTGGCTATGCTCAATTGGCGACGACCAAGGTCAAAGAGGGCCGTCTCGTCTGATCACGGGCTGGAGAGAAGGGAGAGAAAGGGACTACATGACCGGACAAACCATCGGAATGCCGTTACCACGACACTGAGAACAGCAGCAACAGCAACAACAGCAACAACAGCAGCAGCAGCAGCAACAACAAAAAACGACGACGATGACGACGACAGCAATATCAAAAACCACAACATCAACAGCACTGCACAGGCAGCAACATGAACAACAACAGCAACATGCAAAGGAAAACTAGTGTTACCTGGCTTCCACGCGCGGGGCCCCGTGGGTGCGGTCGTCGAGAATCGGGGACAGGATGCACGCTTGCGCCGCTTTGATGTGTCCCACCTTGAGTTTAGGAATAGGTGGACGGGAACGTAGAAAGTGCTAAATAGATTTGAGAGGAATAAGCCATCTTTGTTCGAACGGCAGGTAAGTGCGAGGCCGGGAAGTTGTCTCATCATTTCGTGCAACTCATGCCCACATCTCCTTCACCGTTGCATACTTCGTGCTACAGCAGCACCTCGGTACTTCGATCGCTCACCGACAAAGAAGGGGCTAACAAGCGGAGAGATCAGCAAAGCTCTCGACGGCGTTCGATTGCTAATCTTTCCAATAATCGTTTTCATAGGGGCTCTAGCATCTACTGTGGCGTGAGCGGTGGAATATACCGTGGATCCTATCACTCCTGTTTCTACCACGTTTTCGGTCATGCCGACATGTAACGACGGTAAATTTCTTTCTCCGCCTTGAAGAGCACGGGACGTGGTGTTTGGGACGTATCAGAAATGGCGGGAATCACAACAGCAACAGCAACCGCAACAGGTTACCCTCACGATAACATCAAGTCCGCCTCTTCAACCCGTGGGGGCGTATAGCCCGAGCGAATGTAATGGGATACATGTGCGTCTTTGCTGTTAGGGCTCATCCACACTCTACACTGCGATGTGTGTTCCCGAGCATCCGTCAGAGGTCGAACGCTGCTCCGCAAAAAACAACTCTGCGCCCACAGAAACTTGTTCAAGTAATGTTGTTGCTGTTTGCCGTTAGAGTCCTTGCTATTGATCATGTCACTGTTGTTGTTTATGGTGGTGGCGTCGTTGCCGTTGGCATTGTGCACCCGAGGTATGCATCTTTCTAACCCACCTGCTGGCGGGTGAGGTTGTCCACCCTGATGGCATTACGGTCGTAGGGGTTGTTCGGCTCCCTCACGAGGTCGACAAACTCGCCAAGGTGGGCTACGCCTCTGCCATTCGATCATTAAAAAAAAAGAACGACACAAAACGACGTCAAAATGTTTTTCGCAACTGCTGTGCCAAACCGGGTTGGCACTTACTAGGCAGGGAACCGGCCACGATGCATTCCCGCCTACAAGCATCGTAACGACTCATCTAGATACTTCAAGGGAAACGTCGTCGATGGAAAGGGTGAAAATAGGTGGACGGTATCCGTTGAGCTCGTACACAGCAAGAACACCATTAGCGTTGGTTCACCTGTAGTAGCGGCATCCAACGATCAAGAGGTCGGCGTAGCCGTAGAGGACCTCCCGGCTCGTGGCGTCATCGGCCTGGCCAGGGAAGTACATAGTGACAGAACTTTCAGTTCTCAAATCGTTTGGGTCGCACGGAAGATTAACGCCAAGTTACGGTACACGTGTATGCCAACAGCACCACACTTGCTCCCAAGAAGGCAGTCAGTCGCTACTGCCGTGTTTGGGCCCCTGTTTTGACGCACGTTGCACCCAGAACGATATGTACCCCGCTGGACTACAAGCTCGAACGAATCGCAGTATCAAAAAGGCGGAGCATGCCGAGCGGAACACCAGCAACCCAACCCAACCGAGCCTTCCTAGAAAGCGTGCCCCCGCACCCCGTGCTTGCCCTGGGCTTCCACATCACACTATATACATACTTGCGGTGTCCAGTAGTAGAGTGGAATCGCAACATGCATACTTAAAACATGGTGGTGCCGAGCGCGTGGGAAGCAAATGCACCGCATTACCGTATATGACACAAGATAACACACCCCCTTGACCAACTTTCGAAGCTCGATTTCTCAACTGCAGGAACAGTCACAGCGCCGAAAACGGCGGCGTTGAAACCGTCTCGTCGAGAGCTTTTCGAAAATGTATCGTTTCGTTTATGCATCCTCTTCGTCGTGGAGTAATCGAGCTTTGAGAATCGGTCCAGGGGGTGTTATCTTGTGTTATATACGGGATGCATTGATCGCGTTGCCTCTGAGCGCTTGGCATGGACAAAAATTGTTAATCCTGACTTCCGTAGTCTAGAGTAGGTTACCTCGCTTTTCGAACGTACATGAAGTAGTGGGTATCCTTCGAGATAAACACTACAGTCGAAGGGGGGGTGCCGGAAGCCTTTTTAATGGTGATTTGGGACGAAAGCCTGCTGGATATTGGGCTTATTTGAGTCTACTGCTGACTCATGGGCATGCGGGCTAGTGTGACCGGAGAGTTCACGTCTTCACATGTCATGTGCGCGGGTATACTCTGGACATGACTGCTTTTTTGTAGCCAAATCAAGACCAGAGCTCTTGGAATTTGCCATGGTCCTGGCTGCTAGTCTAGTGGGTACAGAGGAACAAGAAGGTAGGAAGTGGGACGCCCTGCAGGGGATTACTCGCTCTATCGACGTCTTGACGTCTCTCGACTCTCGCCAGAGATTTGATCTGAAATTTGAGAGGTACGCAAAAATTCAAACGGCTACAGCAGTAGAACACCGCCACCGAAAATCATGCAAAATGAACGGTTTTGCGACTAGCAAATTGCGACGCAGCCGCTCAGGAAGCTCCAACGCCTGAACTTCCTGTCTCTGCAGCAACGTTCAGGGTCTAGGGGAACAGCAAATATATAGGGGCAGCAGCAACGAGAGCCCTCGTGGCATGTAAGTCGGTCTATGGTTTGAATCCGCCTTCAAATCTGCATAGCACGCCCACAGTACGTCTGACCTCCTCCTCAGTCAGAGACGCTGTCGGCACCGGAAGCGCGGCGGTAGAAGTTGCCGTCGAAGCTGGTGCAGGGTGCGTCATGTTGTATTTTTGTTTTTGTGAAGAAGTCACAGGCGACAAGATCAGGGAAGCACGAAGACCAGGAGACCAAGACCAACGGAGCCAGGGAGCGGCGGGACCAGGAAAAAAAAAGAAGATAAACATGCCTCTGTTTTTCGGAAACCTTGGAGACAAAAAAACGAACTAAATCGGGGACGGCGGCGGAGCGCAAGTCCTCTCGAGAGCAGGTCGAAGCGAGAGGCCGCCATGGGTATGGAAGAGGACACTCATCGGGGATGGAAACGGAGAGAGGATACGGCGGAGGACCTGAGCTCGTGGTTCTGCCAGCTGTCTACTCAGGAGAGGCTGCAGGTCAGCGACGTAGTTTCCTCCTTGCCTTGGGGAAAGGCATGGTCCCAGGCCCTGTTCAGTTGGTTTCACGGGACGAAGGTTGAGCTTGCCTGTGAAGCTCTCGCGCTGGCTCGGCATGGCTGCCTTGCCTCGGCAATCACCGAAAATATCTCAGAAGAAAGCCTAGAGACTCGTGGTCGCAGGTGGCTCGAGTTGGTAGCCCGTGTGCCTCCCATCTGGTTGAAAATTTACGTCACGCACGATACCACAACAATACCGATGACGAACCTCTTCTCTGTCACATTTCCCTGCGCCAACCCGGCGTCGTATAGTCGCTGCTCGCTCGCCATTGACATATGCGAACCTACTGATAAAGCTGCCAATCGCTTACCCCATTGTGGTTGTAAACTGGTTGCGAGTTTTGGCCTTGTGCCAAATGGCACATGGAAAAAAATGTGGGACCTCATCATGACTTGCTGGCCTAACCTGCTGGGTCACACAGCCTTCTCTCGCTAGATTGCACCTTATTCACAAAATGATACCATCCTTCTCCCCTGATTCAATTCCAAACTTGACCCTACTGCTGCGCGTCCATCCCAACCCACCCCGCATCACGACCATGGGCTCCAGGCGATCGCAGTGGAGGACGTCATCTGGATACGTCTATTCAACTTTCTCTACCGCACGCACAAGTCGGTGATGAGCCAGCGGGGCACGCCGCCAACATGGGAACGAGAGAAGGCAAGAGAAAAAGAGGGAGAAAAAAATGGTGTTCTTTCAGGTTCAAATACGTCCGTTCCCGGCTTCCATGCCTGTAGCCTGCCTTGTACATGGGCTGCTGCTACTGCGCTGCGCAGCAGGCGGTCAACCGTCGTTTTTCTCTCGATGACCACCCGTTCTAGACCATTGCTCCGTCTTGTTTTATGAGCGTTGCGGAGCTTGGCTTTGCAGGGTTGAGCTCGAAATCTGCTTGGTGTTCACATGCACATTCAGCGCATGCGCAGCTACCCTTCAAAACACATGCAATGCATGCAGCTGCATCGCTACACATGATGAGGAACTTGTAGGAAGAAGTTCGTGCCCCAACTCACCTTCCCACCGTGCCTGCCCAAACGCCCAAACCCTATGCGAACATCAGCACAGCTTGTCAGATTGTGTACCCCCGTCTCTTTCTCAGCAATGCCGCAAGCATCGGGTCGCGCCCGCGGGTGGGGCGTGGCGACTACAAACTACTGCTGTGATCGTCGTGGTACGCATACAGTGACGATCGGTTCGACGGAACCAAGTCACTCGCGCATTACGGGGTATATTGGCATCTTCTCTGATGCCAAAAGATACAGGATAGATGCTGCACCCAAACACCCAACTATGCCTGTAGGAGTAGTGTTAGCCTAGAAAAAACAGATGGGATCATCGGGGTGACAGTTGGTTCATGTATGCAGTATAATTGCGTCGGGTACATGCGTTGCAACTATAATATACTTCACATATGTAGGAAACTCTTCTCTCCGTTCTTCTGCCATGCGTTGGCCCCCTCGCGCTGACTTTACTCTTAAGAAGTACTCATTACTTGCTTGCAAAATGCTACGCCTTTCACGCGAATATGTTAGGTGCGAAAAATATACGAGAGGTTTCAGCGAAACGAGCAAAATCATGTTGCCGGCGTCGCCGCCGCCGCCGCCAGTGCATGTTCCGATGCGGCAACGCCGCCACGCACTGCGGCGGTGGCAGCGGGGACGAAACCGACGCCCGTGGAGACGGGCAGCCTCGACAACGGAGGGCTGGGCGCGGCAGAAGGCTATTGCAGCGGGGGCGGTGGTAGCGTGCAGTCGGCGCTGCAGGTCGGGGAGCGGTTGAACGATGCGGTCCGATTGTGCAGCCTCGGGTGTGGCTCGGCGGGAGGGGGCGGCGGCGGAGCCAAGGGAGAGGGGGGGAGAGGAGGGGGGGCATCCGGGCCCCGCGGCGCGCTTACCCTCAGCGAGGCAGAGCTGTCTAAGCCAAGAAGACTATTGAACGATCTACGATTATTAGCTTGTCGCCCCTCCGATGGCAACGAACAGACAGCGGCGGCGGCGGCGGGGGGGGGGGCGTCAGCGCTACCCAAATCAAAGCAAGGGAAGCACGTGCGGGGCAAGCGGGGCGTGGCGGCGGCGGCGGCGCCAGCAGCAGCGGCGCCAGTATCATTTCCAGCTGCGGGCTGTAAGGCGGGGTTCTTGACTCCGGCGTTGGTGGAGGAGGAGGCGAGGCGGGCGGGCGCGTCGGCGGATTGCCACGACCCGCTTATGGAGACGACGTGGTTGGCCGAGAGGTTTCCGGAGGCGACCCTCGGAGACCTGCTGGTCAACCGGCTGGAGCTCAGCTTGTGGGCGAGCTACTGGGGGCGCCGGCGACCACGGGGTTCAGTGGGGTGAGCTAGCTTATCGTTGTGAACCAATGTCCCTGCTGTTGGTGGAAGCTTGTCTAGGGGGTTGGCCTGCTGAACTGGCGGAAACTCAGCCTTGCCGTACTCCCCCTCCGATGCCCAGTGTCTGGCTCAAGTGAGCGATTTGCTGTACTCTTGGGGAGTTTGGACCCTTCCCTCGTTGCCGATTGGCGCTCTTGGCATATGGTAGATTCCGTGGTGTGCCGATTGGGTCGGGTTTCCGTGCCGTAACACAGATGCAACGCGGTTGTGTCAAAGAGCACGGTATGAGAAACGTGCGTGTTAGTGTTTATATGTATGTTTTCCTTGCAACAGAGGCAGCGAGGGCCCACCGCCGAGAATCGATGAGATTAATTTGTCGTGGACGAGGCGAAGAGAAAGTGCTTTTCCCGTACTCTTCCGCCCTGATGGTCGGGTCGGCGTGGTCCGCGTGCGCTGTCAGAGGATGTTATGATCCGCTTTATGTATGAAAACTCTTTTATCTCAGCTTTTTATCGTTTGCTGGCCGGGGTTATTTTTTAATTGATACCTTTGTGAAGCTTGCGCCATCTATCTGTGCCATTGACGTCTTATCATAGCCCGTTGCGTTGTGTGTTGTCCTCATTCCCGTTGGTCCGCAACACCCGCGGTGTAGGGGAATCCCCGCGAGCCCGTTGGCTTCCGTCGCACAAGAGGCCGGCATCCTGCGCGGATTCTGGCGGACGTTGCCTTTACGGCAAAGGCAACAGATCTTGCAGGGGCTGCCGGAGGCGGCGGCGTTGGCAAGCGACTCATGCGACTCGACAGCCAGCAGCAGCAGCAACAGCAGCAGCAGGAGTAGAGCCCGCGAGGATGTGGTTCAATGCCTCATGTTTGCGCCAGTGGCGTGGTGTTCCCAGGTGAGGCGACCAGTCACGATAGGCTTGTGCGGACGACGCCTCTTGTGCGATGTCTTGATCAGCTCCACGAGACTCTTACTCCGGTCTTGGTTGTTCAAGTTGGCAGTATGGTTATTCCCGTGCTCTGCAAGTTTGTTCATGCTGCGGCCAACCTTATCACGTAAGTACAATTTTTTTACGTGGGGAATGGCTCTTGCTCGTGCTACCCGAATGTCTCGGCAGGACGACGGCGCGGCGGTGAAGCTCGTTGTCGGGCGTTTGCGGCGCGCCTACCGGGACCATGTGGCCGCGGGAGACAAGGTAACTCGGGCGATCGAGTCTCCGGCGCTGGAACCGGGTACCAGTAGCGACGACTCGAACGCTGGCTGCGGCGGTGGTGGTGGCGACGACTTCGCCATCGATTCGGCGACGGCCGCGACGACTTCCGTCCGTGTCAGCGGCGACACCGCCGCCGCTGCCGGCTGCGGGGGACTAGACTCTTCGGACCACCGCAAGAAGGAAAAGAAGAGGAAGAAGAAGCAGAAGAACGCTTCGGCTGCCGCTGCTGCTGCGAGCTCGGTTGCTGCGGGGGAGCCGCCCGTGGTAAACCCACCCGTGTCTGGGGCGAAATCGTCGGGAGAAGGCGGCGTAGCCGCCCAAGCCGACAACGGGGCAGCCGCGAGACCTGCCGGCAGGACGAGCCCCGGCCCAAGCGAGGGCAGTAGTGCAACCGAAGGGGCGGAGACGGATAGCTCGGTAGGTGCCAAAGGGATACCGTCAGCGTCGACGTCGGCGGCAGCCGCGCCGCCGCCGTCGACAGCGGCTGCCACCGCTGCTCCTGCTGCGGAGAGCGTGACGGGGGGGATTGACGACGGCGGTTGGGTGCTGTCCACCAGCCGACGGAGCAAGCCGAAAGAGGCCAAGGATGAGGTGAGGGACGTCCGGCGCGGCGGCGGCGGCGGCGGGGGCAAAGGCGTCAAGGGCAAAGACGGGGGCAGCCATCCCAAGGCCACCGCCGGGCACCGTGAGTCTCTCCGGGACTCGCACCGCGAGCCCTACCGAGATAGGGGGGACGCGCCCTCGAGGGGGAGCAAGGGGTCGTCCGGCGGGAGCGGGGAAGGGCGGCATGACCGCGACAGCAGCGGCGGCGGTGGCGCTCCGTGGGCTAGAGGGACGTCCCGCCAGGACAGCGGTAAGGGAGACGAGGGTCGGGTGTGGGGCAAGGATAGCTCCACGAGGGACCGACGAGATGACCCCGGGGGCACCTGGTCCAAGTCGGGCGGCTCTCGTCGGGAAAGGCGTGACGGGAGCGGCGGCGGAGCGGGTCTGGGCTCGGGATCTGGAGCGTGGCCGAGAGCCAGCGCGCGGAGGCGGGAGGACAGGGACGTCGAGGCGACCTGGGTGCAGGGCGGGGAGGAGGATGCGGTGCCGTGGGCCAAGAGAGGCGGTGGAGGCAAGAGCAGCAGCAGCAGCAGCGGCAGCAGCGCGAAAGAGAACGGACACGCTCCCTCCGCAGCAGGCCGCTCGGCAAAAGAACCGCTTCACACCCGCACCCGTTCGTCGTCCTTTGCGGACATGGTCCGTGGCGCCCACGCCGCTGACGGCGTTCCTTCTGCGGTGTCTCCGCTGCTCAAGGCTGTGTCCGCCAAGTCGCCGAGGGTGACGTCCACCCCGGAAGCAACCACCCCTTCGTGGGGCAGCGGCAAGAGCGTGGGGGCGCCGTCGTTTGCGACGGTGTTGCTGGGCGGTAGCGGCGCCGCGTCGGGGTCTAGCAAGCCTCCCCCGCCTCCGGCCCTGAAGGCGGTGGACACGAAGGTCAGCGCTTCGGCGGTCTCTCCCTCAACCACTGTGTCAGCGTCACCGGTCACGGCGTCCGAACAGGCAGGATGGACTGACACGCCAACCCCCGCCGCCGCAGCGGCGACCGGCTCCAAGCCCGCCAAGCCGATGGCGTGGACCACTGGCAACACCGCCAGCGTGCTGCGTGCCGCTATAGGAGAGCCGGTGCCGAGCCGCAACACGAGCAGCGGCCACAAGGTTCCCCAGGACCAGTCGGCACCGGGAGGTGGCAGCGAAGGCTGCGAAGGAAAGGCCGCAAAGGCGGGAAAGAGTCCGCCCACCGGGAAGAGCGGAGGAGGCGACGGGGCAGCGAGTCCCAAGGCCGGCGAGGTGATGGACGTAATGGTGGAGGTGCTCGACCTCGTCGGCGACGTGATCGTCAGGAGAGCGCACTCCAGGGCCAGCAAGGCCAAGTCTTATGCGCAGGCCATCGCGGAGTCGGAGGGGCGCGCGCAGGCGCTGGCGACCGCGTACCAGCGCCACGATGGCCTGCTGCAGGGCTCGTCGTGGGAGGGCGGCGGCTCGACCAACAAGCACGCGGCGGGCACGAGCGATGCGACGGACTCGGTTGCCTCGACGGCGTCGGCTACCGCGGAGACTGCGGAGAGCTCTCCGGCGGTAGGTGCGGCCGAGAGCGACACGCAGCCAGACCCGGAGGGGGAGGAGGGTGGAAGCGTCATCGAGAACTCGGTTCCGGTGTTGGCGCTCTCCCCCGACAATGCTGCTGCTAGCGAAGAAAAAGGCGCAGCGAAAGAAGATGCCGCGGAATCATCTTCCGGTGCTACCCCTCCGACGACGTCTGCAGCAGTCACAGCCTCTCCCCCTGCTGGTGCCACCATCGCTCCCGTGGCTGCTACGGTGGCTAGCTCCCGTGATGTGGTGCCTGCCGCGGTCGAAACTGCACCGAGGGTCGTCGAGAACGGCCCGGTCGCGGCCGCACCGCCGGGGGAACCCCCAACCTTCAATCACGCCACCTCTCGGGGCAGTAGCGGCGGCAGCAGCAGCAGCAGCAGGCGTGGCAACAGCAACGCCGAAGCGGGGGGCGTCCGGTCCCGACCATCGACGACCGCTGAGCCGGAGCGGAGACGAGCAGGAGCCCCGAGCTTCGATAGCGGCGGCGGCGGCGGCGGCAGCAAGGCTTGGTCCGATCGCGGGCCCGAGCGGGACCGGGGTTCCAACGCGGCGTCCTGGGCACGCGGCAACACGCCTCCGGCGGCCGCGAGACAGGCGGCACGAAGAGCGGGCGGCGATACCGGCCGGGCATGGGTGCGCTCCGGGCAGCAGCAGCAGCAGCAGCAGCAGCAGCATGGTCTCGGCAGCGGGGGGCACCCGGGAGCCGCGCCGATGCACGACCTGAGGGGCGCCAGGTCTCGTGGCCACAAGCCGGTGGTGCCCTCTGCGCCCCCCCCCCAGCAGATGCAGCACAACCAGCACCAAGGGATGGGCGAAGTGTCGGAGGAAGGACGCGGGTCTGCTGCGACGCTGCTCTTGCCGCGGGCGCCGGCCGCCTTGCGGGCTTCAATGTCGGCCCCTCTTGGCCGGGACGCCGCAACGGACGGTGTCAGCGACGCTCTCTCTCGGGGGGGGCTGACTACCCAGCCGGACGTGAGCAACGTCATGCCGTCTCCGCGCATCCTGCGGAGCCCCTCTCGTCGACACAGGCCACGAAGCAGCAGCGCCGGCAGCGGCACCAGGCACTCCCGGATGCACAGCGGCGCCGGCGGCGGAGCGGGGTACCACCCGTACCCTCAGCACCAACAGCACCAGCACCAGCAAGAGAGTTGGCAGAACAGCAGCGACTGGGCTCTGTCCGCTGGAGGCAACGGAGGCGGCGCTCCCCGTGGCGTAAGGTCAGGGGGCGGGGGGTGGCAGCAGCAGCAGCAGCAGCAGCAGCAGCAACAACAACAGCAGCAGCAGGCGAGGGACGGCGAGGCTGGACGATCTCAGTACCCATACCGGGACGATGGCAACCTCTATCGAGCGCCGTCGCCACATTCGGTATGCGGGGGGGGAGGGGGAGGCGGAGGTAGACAGCCTCGGCAGGAACAGGGGGGGCACGGTCGGCCTGGGAGGAGCTCGTTGCCCCGGCCTGCCGAAGCACCACAGCAGCAATCGCAGCAGCAGCAGCAGCAGCAGCAGCAGCAGCAGGTTCAGCCGGCGAGGTTCCGGTCGCGCAGCGGGGGCGCGGGGAACGAGCTGTCGATGGCAGATCGGAGGGCGGACCGAATGGAGTACGAATACAACCTAATGGTGTCATGCCTCGACCGCAACGTGGAGAGGTTCATGCAGAAGCTGGGCAGAGCGATGCGCCCTCGACGACGAGCGTGGAGTCAGGTGGGTTTAGTGCCGAAACANGGGGGGGGGGGGGGGGGGGGGGGGGGGGGGGGGGGGGGGGGGGGGGGGGGGGGGGGGGGGGGGGGCGTACTCGTACCTCGGTTGTTGAACCATTGACCACAGCAGGAGCAGCAGGGACATTTTTTGGCTGCTTTGACGGCGCGTGCTGTCGGGAAGACCTTGAAGTTGACCTCGCGGGTTGCACCCGAAGGTAGTGAATTCCTTCTCAGACCGATAAGTTGGCTGAGACAAGCTTGTGGAAACGAGAGAATATTTTTTTGTGCTTCGCTGCGCACTCACTCGACCTATGGAGGTGTGAAGCTCCGCCCCCACCGATCCTGTTGGGCAACGGGATCAAAGCCTGCCTGTTCCGTTCCAGGTCGTTGGTGACTGTCATTTCTAGTATGTAAGAAATGGGACGCTCTTTCTTTTTGTGTTGTCGCAGGCCACCTGTTTTTGTCTCTGGTAGTCGCGTGTGTGTATACAATCATTCAGAGTTTTGCCTCGGTTGTCGGGAGGAGAAAGCTGTGAAACGCTGCACTACTGCTGTAGGCCTTCGTCTAGCGGGAATCTTGGGCTGTCGCGTGCTGGGAAAGCGCGAAAGGCGCTGTGTATGTGCAGGCGGCACCAAACACGCGTTTCATGCTGATTTTTGGTCACGGTGCATGTCAACACACGGCATATACCTCACGAAGGCGATCACACACGCCCCCCAACCACCAGGCCCGATTGTTGAGTACTCCTCCCGGTAACCATCTCTGCATGCCTCTCTCGTGCGCCAAGTATTACTCCACCGCGTTCCGTCGCACGCCGCTCTTACTGGTCTGCGGCTCTTGGAACGCTCCTTAAAAAAATTAAGGTGATCGCCCGCGTGCGAGAGCTGGTGGCCGGTATCTGGAAAGAGGCGAAAGTGGAGATGTACGGTTCTTGCTACACAGGTAAGCGCCGCACCGGGCCGACCAAACGTGAACGGCCTCTCGCTGCAACCCGTGGGAGATGTAGGCTGGCCCCGTAACCTCGTAGATGGGCGAAACGAGTATTCGCAAGAGATTGTTCATGGCCCATGCTCTGTTTAAGCTAATAATTTAGGCTAGTTAGTACTCTCTATCTTAAATCTACCCCGCCATACTCTCTTGAGACGTTCGTGTCCACCGTCTTTTGAAAGAACGTCCGTGAAACAATGTCTCCCCCCCCCCCGGTGTTTGCCGTCGGGATTGGGTTTCGT